GCCTGGTGGTAAGTGAAAACCTATATGTATCAGCATCATGAACTGCGCGTCATCATATGTTGCTAGTGATGGCATCACTAGCATCACATGTAAGACGTGATGCGTCGATTTTCTGAAGCACTAACCCTGTAATTTCATTATCTTACGCACCTTGAATATGGATATAGTTCTAAAATTTATTGGGTCACTCCTATTTCAAGATTTGAAAAACGGTAGGATTTTACTAACTTTCATTATGTTAGGAAATTTACTATCATCCTTTATTGACAATAAAAGGAAGAGACGGCACAATAATTCCATTATACTATTGAGTATTTTAACCGATATATCCCATATATCCTCCGTGATTTTGTTGTTTAAATATTTTCATTATTTCTACTGATGTTATATGGATATAATATAAAAGTATATATTGTGAATCTGTGGTGAGAATTCTAAGATATTATCGATTATAAAGAAACCTTATTACATCCTTTTTGAGGATTCACGTACGTAGTCTCTAGGGAAAAACTTGGCAGACAAAGTTATATTGTGTTCACAATAATAATTCATTTGGCATACTATGTATACCGATGTTTGTCGTCAAGCAGCCGTTTCTCAGAGATAGAATATGGTCAAAAAAAATATGTTCACCCCATTATAAGAGCATATGGTGTCCGCATATCACATCTCTACAGATCTCTTTGGGATTCCGTCAAAAAACCATAACCATAACTTGCTTTCTTCATACTATGATCTTCTATTGGTGCCCGGCAAGGACGAAGAAATTCATATTCCCCATTAGGTGTATTAAATATAAAATTTATATTATTGTAACAAGTAACGCAATCTAGCGAACGTCGGAGTAATTAAAATGTGAATTCATAATGCCATCTAGCGGCACGGCACAGTAAACATTAAGCAATGTACACAAACCATTGAAAATACTTTCAACACGCAGATATTTTAATTAATAAACAGATGGCGCTAGTGAATACTTTTTATTCAGGAAAACAATTGTACAAATATGTCTTTTTTTGAATAGCACGAGATACTAATATATAAATAATGATTACTACACAGAAACATTTAAGAAAAGATTTATTGTCAGTACTTTTCAGCTCGAAAGCAATCTGAACTAACAGTAGACTTGACATATCATAAGTCTGTAGTAGACCTACATGAATAAAGATATTTTGATTTGATTTGATTTATCATCTCAATATCAAATACATGGGTCAACTGTTCCACACTGGCACCGCAAAGTGCAATTTATATTATTTATTTTGTTAGATAATATTTAATCTTAATAGTGTTATAAACGCGAAAGTTTGTAAGTATGGATGTTTGTTACTCTTTCACGCAAAAACTACTCAACGGATTATTTAAATTATTAACCGGGTCTTAACTCTCGACGTTTCGACTAGGTTGTCACGAGGTCACGAGCTGGCTGGAGAACAAAGATGTCAATGTAGATAGGTGACAGCAGTTTTTTCATCTACCGTCACAAGATTGATCAACGAAAGTTCGCGACTCACAGCACTCACGGTATCCGTACACTTATCGACTGTTGATGCTACTGAACTTTGCTTGGATTTATTTATGACTGGATTCCACGCAGAAGGTAATTTTAAGCCATCCGCTCAGTTGAAATTGGAATGTTTTTATACGAAAAGACCCTAATAATTTACATTATGTATACTGAACGGATTTTGATAAAACTTTACAGTAATATAGCTTCTACATCAGAATAACACATAGGCTATAATTTTCAAAGTTAATATGTAAATTGGGCGAAATATAAAGATAAATATAATATAAGTGTGATGCAGACGAAGATGCTGTTAGTATTATATTATTATATAGGTAAATCACAAGTCACTCGCTGACAAGGCACCTTTCTTAGGTAAACCCATTTTAATATTATGAGTTTGGGCACTTTTTGAGTATATTATCCGTTAAACTGAATAAAGGTTTTCCTCCTCATAATTTTAGTTTCTTTTAAACAATTAGATCTATAACTGATTTCAGTATCCAACAGGACAATTACATTAAATAATCAGTTAATTACCACAAAACCTCATTGATAAATCCATCACTCTATGCTTAGACATACTGTTATCTGAAAATAGGCTTAGTTCCCATCCAAATTGGACTAATTCAAAATAGTTTGTAAATTAGATACTGCGAGAATATGCGAATGCCATGCCTACCTAACTTAGGGTTGGCAATACCAAATAAAAAAAAACTAGTATTCAGAAAAAAAGTTTCAAAATCCAGGACGCATTAATAATTAGTATGTAGTGAAAATAAATATTAAAATAATCATGTTTTTAATAGAAGCATTTAATAAAATATCTATTTGAATTATAGCCTATGTGTTATTCTGAAGTATAAGCTATATTACTGTAACGTTTCATTAAAAACGGTTCAGTAGTTTTTGCGTGAAAAAGTAACAAACATCCATCCAACCATCCATACTCACAATCTTTCGAGTTTATAATATTAGTAAGATGTTACAGATATATACATAAATATATTATCGTTATTAATGAAATTTAATATAATACAGCAGATCCGGTCACGCGTTTCTGTGACTAAGGTTCTTGAATAAAAGAATATTGCGACTATAAATTAAGATGCAAACATCCTATCTTTCAAGTTGGATCACATTGCACATAATGTGCAAATCAAATTTGCAATCGGTTCAGTAGTTTATAGGAGTCCATCGCGGACGAACAACGTGACACGTAATTTTTATATATAACTAGCTACTCGCCCCGGCTTCGCCCGGATGTACATGTATTATATATATAAACCTAGAGTGTTTCTATAGGAAGGTTTATATATACAATAATACATGTACACCCGGGCGAAGTAGGGGCGAGTAGCTAGTCGTCGCTAAAGTCTAAGTCTAAGTCGCTGTCGCTGTCAGTCCGTCCCTATATATGCTTAAATCTTTAAAACTACGCAACGGATTTTGAAGCGTTTTTTTTAATAGATAGAGTGATTCTAGATTCTATTCTAGTGAGTCAAGATCTCTGGAAGGCATTGGATGCGAGCAGCGCAGGACCGATCGTCGTGGAGATCTTTGGGGGAGGCCTATGTCCAGCAGTGGACGTCTTCCGGGCTGCGATGATGATGATGATGATGAGAGTGAAGTAAGTAGAGGAAATTTTATATGTATAATACATGTACACCCGGACTAAGCCGGGGCGAGTAGCTAGTTAGCATATATAAGAACTTGGAATAGTGTAATATTTATTAAATATCTAATTAACTTCCACACAGATCTTTTACAATTTTATTATTTGTATGACGATAATTATCACATTTGCAACCTACAAGTAAGTGGCTAAGTGCAGTTCCAACTCGACAATGTACATCACAGAGTACACAAATCCAGAGAGTTTTCATGGTATAGGCCTCTGGAGAATTTAGAGTACAAACCTCATTCACACCCAGCTCAAATTGTTTAAGTTTCCCGGCTGTTTTATAACAACTATCTACGAAAAGAAGGTAATATGTATGTATATATGTAATGTACCTCCAAAATATAGTTGAATGTATTATCAGTGTTGGCGACAGTCCTCTTTTAAATGGTGTTTCTTATTTTGAACCATATTTTTTATTTACAATTTTGTAATTGTACTTCTATTGCTATGTCAAATGTGTGTACTAAATATATTGCTCTAAGATTGGTGAGTTGTTTATTTATTTTGCCCTATTATATTCATTGCCGTTGCCAGCCTTAATAATGTGTATTCTTCATGCTCGTGAACGCGTTTTGAAGTTCTCGAAGTCTTCTCTGCTGTCGGTGATAATTCTCCTATAATGCCTTGGGCATCCTTAAATGAACTGGTGCCCCGCCAACGTAAAACACTAGCGCAGATGAGTGCACAATTACATTATCTTACGTTATAAAAATCCATAAATGAAGTTACTGTAGATTAGTCATATATTTTACATCTAGAAACGATTTCAATAACAAAATAAACAGTTTTGAAAATAGTTTTATTTCTATTTATAATTTTTTTAATATAATTTAGATTCAAGAGTGATGTTACGATACATAATTTAAACAACTATAATTTGGTCTATTCCTCGCGGGTTCGATTCCTCGTACGGTACAAACATTTGTATTCATGACTATGATTGTTTGTATCAGTTTGGGTGTTTTCTATGTATAATATGTATGTATTTACAAAAAGTTAAGTATATATATCAGTCTAATACCCAAGTTGATCCATCCCTAGATGGAAACCATCGTGATAAACTCCTGTCGTATTGGCCACGATTAACCAGGTTAAATGACCTGACATCATACTCCTCTTATTAAAAAAATCTATCCCATCTTCAATATTATTCTTATTGCACAATAGTATCTGTTTTAAACTCCCAAATGGGAAAAACACAACTATGATTTTACAAAACTAGGACCGTTTTGTAAAATGATAATTGTATTTTTCGAATCCTTTTGAATATTTGTATATTACTAAATTGGAATTTATTAATATAGGCTTTTCTTGAGAAAAGCCTATTTTAATAAATTCCAATTATAGCCTATTTTAATAATGCTTTTCTCATAAAAAATAGTGACCCTAAGTGAACTGAATTAATGGGTATCTTGCAAACATTAGTTTGCTAGGAGAAGGTATAGGAATAGGAAACATGTATATAGTATAGGAAATCTCCCCATGAGTTTAAAATAAGAATTATAATCTTAGGACAATTTACACAGCGCCATCTAGACCCAAGTTAAGCTAGCTAAAGCTTGTGTTATGTGTACTGTATATCTGATACAAATACATAGATATTTTTTTCATAAATACATACATATTATACATAGAAAAACACACATAATTATCTGTAGAAACTCGCAATTTTCCTATAATTAGGAATCCAATTTGCTCATATTCACATAAATTTGACTTCTATCCGTTACAACTAGCCATGCATAAAGGAAATAATCTTCAAAATCGAATCGGGAACCATTTATTTTTAGGATAAACGCAACAAAATTCAATATTATAATAGCAATTTATTTTAATGACTGTGAGATTGCAACTTATAATATTACTTACAAGTAAATAGGTACTAAATAGCGCAAGAATACTATATGTGACTTAAAACAATAAATTAAAACTAAATATTAGCGAGAGGAGCCATAGCACACAGCCCGTATTCCTTTGCGCATTGTTGATTTTGGCTTGGTCTAAATCCTCCTGGTAATTTCTGTGTGCTTTCAGTTTATCTGGCTTCGCCTCATCTGAAGCCATATCGCGGTCATCAAAAACTGTCTTCTCCGTAGGTTTAGCTGAAACGGTAGCTAGCCGACTAGTAGTTGGGCTTTGTTTCTTTTCATCCTCACCATTAGTTATTATTATGTCATTTGATAGCTGTACATTTTTATTATTATCATTGTACGCTACAGTCGCCACATTTTTCGTTGTGGACTCTATAATAGATACATCCAATAAGCCCAGATCTAATTTAGTGCCTTGAAATTCTGTGCTTGTTGTTGGTTTTGCTGTAGTTTCTATGATGGTTGTAAATACTGGATTAGATATTGCTTTGATATTTATATTTTTGTTAGCTATTACCTGATTGTTCTCGGATTCCATAGCGGAGTAATCTGGACCAGTACAATTTAATAGATATCGTATGTCTATATAAAATAGAGTTCCATTCAGTTGTGAATCGTCATAATATTCGTATTCTGCGTTTGCTGTTGGTTCTTCTACAACGTCCAAAACCTCTTCTTTCTTTTCTTTATCCACATCTTTATTCCATTTATCACGTAGTGTATCACTTGGCAAACACTTTATGTTGAGAAGACTATTTCTTAATATTACATTCTGAGTTTTATTCTTTAATGACAGGAACCAATCCAGGCTGCAATCGCATGGAAATTTATTACCTAAAATGAAATAAATTTTACCATTTTACTAGTAATAATTGTATTAATATAATAATATAATACAGCACAACAAGACTATATATAAAGTACAACACATGAAATATAATTTAAAATAACATATCAATATTTTTTACAAATCTATGATTCTCAAAAAATGATTTTATTTCTATTTGATTTATGACCCGTAGTAATAAATATAATAATATAGTCTCATGTAAATAATAACAGACTTCACCAAAGTTCTTTATTTAAAACTAAAGAACTAAAGTACTTTAGTAAAAGTAATAAAATTATTAAAGTAAACAAAAATAATTAGACATAAGTAAATATTACTTGTTACAGGACGTGGACATTTGAAATATTGTTTTCATTACAACGTCGACAGTTACAATGACTTTGATTAAATTTTTCTAACTTTTATGGAGTTAATAGAATTATCATTATTATTATTATCATATTATAATTAACTACAAATTTGATACCATTATAAAGAAAAGTAAACAAGATAGATCTTTATTAGTTGTGTAATAATAAGCTCGACTTACCATCAAAATCTAAGAAACTTTTGCCGGCATAGAAGTTATTTAGGATTGGTGCCATAGTATCAGCTTTGATTTCTCGAATCAAATTTTCTTTCAAACTTAAGGATTTTAAATTTTCTAGTCCTTCAAAAGTCTTCACATTATCAATGTTATTTATTTTATTATGAGCTAAAGACAGAGATTGTAAATTTCCAAGTCCATTGAATGCTTTCTCGTCTAACATCTGAATCTGATTCCCATCCAAATTCAAGAATTTAAGACTTACGAGATAGACAAATGTGTTATCCCCAATAACCTCTAAACTATTGCCGCTTATGTCCAATCTAACCAAATTAACCAATCCAGAAAATGTCTCACTGTTCAAACTGAACAATTTATTTTTATCAATCTCCAATTCTTTCAGATTGGTTAAATGAACAAATGCTCTATCATGAATTGTTGTAATTTTATTTACAGTCAAGAATATTTTTTCAATCGATGGTAGATCGACAAATACGTCTCTATTTATTTCCACTATATCGTTGGTATCCATACTTATAACTTTGACGTTCTTGAGATGAGCAAACGAATTCTTTTCGAGTATTTTAATATTATTCTCCCTTATTACAATATCTTCTAGAGTAATTAAGTTAGAGAAAGCGAAAGCTTGAATTTTTTCTATATTTCCATATTTGATCATTAGTCTAACTAGTGATTTGGTATGCTCTAAAGCTTTAGTAGGTACATATTTTAGTAGAATGCCTTTAGTATTTGTTAGAGTAAGTTTAGTAGCATTTTGTAATAAACTTAATTCGTTCCAACTAGGATCGTCTTGTGTAACATCTTCCGTTGTTAAATAGCATTCACCACTTCGATATTGATCTGGTTTAAGACTGTTTCTGACGCAGTAACAAAGCACTTTTTCTGTGCTGTTATGGCGTGGTTCACATATTGAAGGCTTGATTTCTCTTTTATGATGATTATACTTAGATTCTACTAGTGCCCACGACGCACATATTATTGTGAGTATTCTCAAAATCGCCATGTTTATCCTTTAAGCCGGAATCTGTAAAGCAAAAATAGACATATTAGTTTATATTCCGTAGTATCAACCAACCATCTGGTCATATTACAGGGAGTAGATAGATAGGTACATAGTATTATTGTAAGGAACATAGGGGTCAATTTCAATGAAGATGCTTTTTGTAATATAATTGACAGGAACAACATTATTAGAATATCCATACAATTATTTATTGAGATTGACTATACCCACAACACAAACTCTGTTTAGCTTGGGACTAGTGGACGCTGTGAGTTGTTCCTAAGATATGTACTATTATCAGCTTAGCAGCTACAATTATGAATTTTATAAAAAATAAATTATCTTTAAAATAAGCTTGTCCAAATACAGCCTGATGATAAAGTGACTGATGGATATTACCCTGAATTTTGTTTTAGTGACTCATTTAGAGTTGGTTTATTAAAATCCATAGTTACAGTAGGCTAAGTGATCTCATCTGTTATCAATTTTTGACGGTCTCGGTGGTCTAGGTGGTTTTAACTTCTGATGATCGCGGGTTCGATCCCTCGCATTTATAAGTTTGATTATTTATACTGGTGTGGTTGTTTTTTAATGTATATATATTTACAAAACAAAATGTATTTATATTAGTTATTTAGTACCCATAACACAAAGTATGCTTTGCATATGCATCTAGTCCTTAACTAGATGGCGCTTTGTAAGTTGTCCTGTGTCATTATTATTTTATCAGTTTTGTAGTATCCATAACTCAAACTCTGCGTAGCTTGAGACTAAAACGCTGTGTGGTTACTGTTGTGAATTTGTTGTTTCCAGGAATATATAACGTAATGCTGTTGGCCGCAGCTGGCCTTTACAGCTTCACCCATCGGTTCCTACCGATGCAGATAGCATACCAAACACAGAATAGGACTTATGGAGCGGCTGAACGCTAACTCCTGCCTGACGAATACGATTTTAGTCTGAAGTCACCGTGAACGGTTTGTACCTTAACTAAGGGATTCGTAATTTCGTTCCCCTTTAGAATTCGTACTGGGGATCAATATACCGCCGAATTCATATTTTATTTTTTGTTCTATTATTTTCAATATATTTTAGTCATTAACGTATAGATAATTATGGAGCATTACTGTTATACAACTTTGTCTATATCGCACTTACATGACATTTATCATTATATTTCGGCGAAATTTTCAGTATGTTTTTAATTTTAGCCTGTGTGTTATTCTGATGTACAAGTCATATTACTGAAAAGTTTAATTAAAATCCGTTCAGTAGTTTTTGCGTGAAAGAGTAACAAACATCCATCCCTAGTCACAAATTTTCACGTTTATGATATTAGTAAGATTAGGTTACCTGAAATAAATAAATAAAATAAAAAAAGAAATAGTTTTGTAAGCTGTGTTTCAGTTGACACATAAAAGGCAGGCAATTACAGCTTGTTTCCTGCACAAGTTACATGATAAAAAAGCTGCCAACATTACTGCCTTATGCCTCATAAAATGCCGTTATAAATCACATACACTCCCTTACAAAGTTGGCCGTATTTATCGCACCATTAGCAACTGTTAACGATGCCCTATTAGTTGTGAAATGGGAACACAGATATGTTAACCATCTAATTACTTCAATTATGTGTGAATAAACAAGATACATTGAACGGGAGCTGTTACCAGCAATATCGTGCTATCTTTGAAATAATAGTATTAGGATTATTCTACAATATTGATGTGAACCACATTAATATTGTAGAATAATCCGATATTTTAAAAAGATATTAAAGGAAGGTAAGGTTTGTGTTTAGTACTAATAAAGTATTCAATGTAAAGATTATTACAAAAATTGTAAACAGCGCCATCTAGTATTTATATACCGAACTAAGTTCTTTGTCATAAGATAACCATTACTTTTTAAAATATCGGATTATTCTACAATATTGATGTGAACCACATTAATATTGTAGAATAATCGGATATTTTAAAAAGATATTAAAGGAAGGTAAGGTTTGTGTTTAGTACTAATGAAGTATCCAATGTAAAGATTATTACAAAATTTGTAAACAGCGCCATCTAGTATTTATAGACCGAACTAAGTTCTGTGTCATAAGATAACCGTTACCCACACTTCTCTCCCTACTACACTGACTTCGGTTATAAATACGGAGGTCGGTAGTTGAATAATCATTTTTTGGTTGAGCCGCGGCATTCAGTTGACGAGCGCAGAGCATGCCGGTTGTGTTTTGGATACTAAAGTGAATTGTATTAGAAATGGGTTTATTCCGATCTTAGTTGGGCCTGGGGGGAAGCTGCACGTAGTGAAGGTGAGTGTTAATGTATTCTAAAGGGGCCACTTAAACCTACACCCGTGTCACAAGTCACGGGCGCTACCCTTACCCACGGCGTTTCCCGGTAGCCGGCTTCAAAGCCTAAGTCATTATGGATCTTGATGAGTCCTATGGATCTTACAATCGTCACGATGATTCGTCCGGTATCAATACCCAATCTTACAATAGTATATGCTCTTCTTTATATTATTAACCGGGTCTTAACACAATTAATTTTATGGCAAATAAAGGTCTCTTACCGTTCTCGACTAAGTTACACTAGCTAATAGTATAAATACTACACTAATAACATAAATAATGTATATTAAACACGAAAGTTAAAAAAAATAACAATAGTCTATGCTCATCTGCCCAATAAATCTCTTTTTCGGTTTAGCACGCGTCTTTACTTCCGATCGTCGCGGGTTCGATTCCTCGCACAATGCAAACATTTGTACTCATGAGTATGATTGTTTGTATCTGACTGAGTATTTTCTATATATATTATGTATGTATTTACAAAAAAAACAATCGAAGTATTTATATTGTCTAGTACCTATAACGTACGCACTGCATAGCTTGGGGTTTTTTTAATGGTTGATAATAGAATGGTGCAGCCGCCTGCGCTAACGGTTTACGCTGGCGGGGCACCAGTGAAGGATGATAAGATGAGTATGAGGTCAGGTCAGTTAGCCCTTCGTGACAAATTCACCAAGAATTTATCACGATGGTTTCCAGGGGGAACCGCGTGGAGGTCAACCTGACATGGTACATTGCTAGCAATGAGATCATCAGTCCACATAACTAACAATCCTCTTTCCCCCCCCATAGCTTGGGGTTTGATGGCGCTGTGTTAATTGTTTAGTAATAATAATAATAATAGTCTCAGGACAATTCACACATCGCCATCTAGACCCAGGTTAAGCTAGCTAGAGCTTGTGTTATTGGTAATAGATAACTAATGCAAATACATAGATATTTTGATCATAAATAAATGCATATTATGCATAGAAAGCGCCAAGACAGACACAAATCATACTCATGAATAGAAATCACACTCATGTGCCGTGCGAGGAATCGAACCCGCGATCATCGGAAGTAAGGTGCTGTGTTAAAACTAGACCACCGAGGCCATCGAAGTAAGAATAAGTTTAGTTTTATTATTAATCTTATACACAAGGAATTAGGTTCAAATTATACTATATAATATCCTTCAAGCTGCAACACAGTTTGCAAAACACTAGCAACAATATTACATAAGACAGAGGTACCTCTGCTAACTTCGACCAAAGTCTTCTTTTTAAATTAGATCTATTAGACAAGAATACAAAAAAAAACCGTAAAAAAATAACCCTAGATAAAAAAAATACCTTAAAATATTTAGTATAACTTCTATGATGTTTCACGCCCCTATTCCCTTTTCCCTGAATTGTTAAAATTAAGTCTATTTTTGTTTTACATTCTGGATTATTATTACGACTAATCCCTGGATATATAGCTATATTAGTGATCTAATCTCTTTAATAAAGCGGCAACTCTCAAACTGAGCTCCTAATCCAAGTTATTTTTAAACGTCATCGCTCGTGTCTTTAAATTTAATTAGTGCTGTTTTAATCCAATCTTTGAAGACTCTCTTCATGAAGAGTGCGCGACATGTTTTAATAAACATGTCTGTTATCATATATTATTAATATTCTGCCCCCATACTGAATAAGGGATGCGTACCTACTGTGAATTCTTGGGCGCGAAATTTTTCACGCATTTCATTTATTCAATTATTTCGGATGAAATTATATCTAAAGTATATATGATACTTACGTAAAAAATAATATAAAAAATTTTGTCTGTTACTAAGCTTTGAAAAGGCTGCACCGAATTTGATGGGAATTTACTCTCATATAGCTAATACTATAAGCAGCAACTTAGGCTATTTCTATTCTAGAAATTTATATTAATAATAAAAATGCAGACACTGTCACGGGTAACGGCCAGTCAAGAGTATTATTTCGAACATTATTTCGATTTGCAATTAGATATCGTACCTATCAAAAACACAGTTGAATTGATGAGGATATCCTTTTTGAAGTCGGCCAAAGAAAGAAAAAAGAAATCGCAACGGGTCCTTAGTCACGGTTGGTGGTCTTGCATCTAAAAGTCTTATTCTGTCGTAAATGGTATCGCAAATATACGTGAACCTCAGAGCAAGAGAGTTACCAAGAGGGAACATCGCGTACAAAATAAAGGTCCAAACGCATGATCAAACCAAACAAATATATCTGTTAACATATTGTGGTCACTGCAGTTTGATAGGCGAATATTAATAATTAACATAAAAGTACGTTTTATTAAACGAAAATATTTTGGTACATACAATTTTTAAGTTATTGGAAGATTATTAATTAATTATACTTTATTTTTTCTATCACTTTATTGTTATGCATATTATTAATAAATGATAACGACCTGACCTCATGTTCATCTTCTCATCTTCCACTATTGCATCGCCAGCGTATACCATTACCGCAGTTGGAAACACCATTCCATTATCATTAATTAAAAAAAAACTACTATCATATAATTAGATACTAAATAAATAAACATAATTAATCATTATACTACTTTCTTCACTTCTCTTAATATAAAATAATGATAAAAATGGGTACACTGGTTTTTATGTCAACGTTTTAAAAATAATAGCTTT